GAGCGAGTCAGCGAGTGAGTAACTGGAAGGCAGAGAGAGAAAAGGGGCCCATAGGTGTGGGGGGGGGGGTGCATCGAAGATGCCGCAAGGCAGAGAGCAACTCCGAGGAGTGACGCACAAGGCGAAGGGCTCGTAGGAAGACCGGCAGACGTGGAGCCCGTCGAGCCGGACATTGTCGGCGAGGAGGAGGAGCTGCCGCTCCCGCTGCCACTGCCGCTCCCGCTTCCGCTGCCGCCACTGCTGCTGCCGGCGGAGCGGGTACGTTTGCGTCCGGTGGCCAGCCGCGGTGCGTCGCCGCGCTCGGCTGCCGCCGCCGCCGCCGCAGCAGCAGCAGCCGCCGCCGCCGCCGCCGCCATGGCCGCCGTGTTGACCACCAACGGCAGGACACCCCCGCGGCCCACGGGTGACGGGCTGCCCGCCGAGAGAGGTATCCCCCCGTGCGCGGTGGCGTGCGAGGGCGAGTGTGTCCCGGCGTCCGGATGGCCGGAGGCCGGGGAGGCGGGCCGGCTCCCATGCCCGGCGGGGCCTCCGGCGCCGGCGGAACAGGGCGATGTGGAGGAGGAGGAGGCGGCCGCCGCCGCGGCCGTGGCCGATCGCGACCGCCGCCCGGCCCCGGCCAGGCCACGGCCCCCGACGCCGAGGCACTTCTCCAGATGCGAGGCATAGCGCGAGGCATGCGCCGGCCGGCCGCAATGGTCGCACACAAAGGTGTCACTGGCATCCTGCTGGAAGGCATCGGCCAACAGGGCCGGCAGCCCGAGGGACAGCTTCCCGGCCAGCACCAGCCCCGTCTCCTCGGGCGGATCCCCCCCATCCGGCGCCAGCCCCGGGGTCAGGGCCTCGGCCACCGGCAACAGCGGCGGGCACAGCGGCATCTCCAGCAGGGTCTGCACCCGGTGCAAGTCGTCGGCCGTGCAGGGCCACGGGCCTGGCCCGGGCCTGGCCCCGCCGGCCGGAGAACGCTGCTGCCAGGAAGAAGCAGACCCGGGGCTGGCGCCGGGGCCGTTGTCGGCGAGATCGCCGGTCGGCCCGCGCGTCAGCGATCCGGCAAATTGCCCGAGCGCGAAGCCCTCGAGGGTGCTGCGCCGGTGAACGGACAGGGCCACATCGGTGATGATCTCGTCCACCAGGTCGCTCAGCAGGCGGAAGGCCTGGTGCACGGGCGGGCAGAGGCCGGGGAACACACGAGCGGGTGGGAGGTGAGACGCCATGGGGGAATGGGGGGGGGGCATGAAGAATAACGGCAGCAAGCGAAGGGGACATGCAGAGGGCAGGGCCCGAGGGGGGGGGGGGGGGGCGCCCGCTGGTCGCCCGGGCCCCGGCGACCGCGCTAAACACGTACAACGGCCCCGCGTGAGGTGTTAACATACTCGCGGCCGGCGCCGGCCGACGCGGCCGGACGCCGGGCCGCCGACCGCCCCGACAGCAGCAGGCTCACGTCAGTCAGCGAGGCGACCCGCTGGCGGAGAAGACGCGCCTGGGCGTCCTTGTGTCGGAGGGCCGTCTCGAAGTCCAGGAGCTCGGTGTGGTCGGGGCTGGCGGCCACGCCGGGCGAGGGGGAGATCGCCGCCGGGGCGGGAGCCACCGGTGCGGCGGCCGCCGGCGCCGCCAACGGATGCGACCGCCCGCTCGAGGAGGGGTGAACCCGCGGCCGGCCGATCGGGCGCCCAGCCCCAGATGCTCGGCCGCCAGCAGGGCCGGCTGGCGACGTCGTGCGGGGTCCCATGGTTGGGGAGACGGGGGGGGGG